CATTATGTATCAATTAGTTATGTATCAATTATTGTTAAAATGTATTTTGAATTTTTTTTACATGTTTATAGTTTTCATTCAAAAAGTAAATATGAAAAAGAATTTATTTCTGTTTACATTAAATGGTGAGATTTAATATTAAATTTTGAAATAATTGTATTCAAATGGGTTTGGTAATGAGTATGAATGAATAAAAAATAGTAAATCAAATTCATCGATCCAAAACTCGAACCAAATTATATAATTATGAATGAGTTTTGAAATTTCAATAATAAATTATCTTATTTGAATATTTGAATTAATATTTAAATTATCAAACTAAATAAATAAATATTTGAATTAAAACTAAAATTTACTTAAAATAAAAAAATATCTATAAAAAAAATATTCATTTTTATATTGAATTTTCATATTAAAAAGGATTTAACTACGTTTTCACATCTAATTAACATAAAGATAATTTTTTACAAAATACAAGACCATACATTGACCATAAAACTTATATATATAATTTAAATATATAAAAAGATTCAACAAACTATCATTGTATGTATTGTTTTAAATTTATTACACATATTTCAATATTATTCTTTCAAAAATGTGACTTTGAAAAATAAATTTATAATTTGTATTGTATATATAGTGTACAAATTTGTATTAGAAATACTAAAAAAAAATTAAAATCGTAACAAAATAACAAAAAATAACCACACTCGCTACATGTTTTATTCCAGATACTATTGTTCACAACCAAACTTTAAAAATCGAACAAGTGTCTTGAAGATGAAAAGAGAACCAAAAAATATATATTTGACATTATTGGAAATTTTTAACTGTGAAATGATATTTTTATAATTTATTTAACTATAAAAAATATCAAATTAACTTTTATTTTATTTTAAAGTTAATTAAAATTGGAATATATGTTAATTGTTTTGTTCAAATTAAATTAACATTTAAGTTTATAATTTTTGAAATATTTAAGTTTTGGCAAGTTTCAGATTTCAAAATATTTAAATTTTGGCAAGTTTCGGATTTCAAAATATTTTAATTTTGACAAGTTTAGAATTATTTCAATGTGTTTGGCAATTAGAGTAAAAGTACTCAAAATAAGTTAATTTGGAAATAAATGTTAGTAATGAGTATAGAG